ATAACAGCGGAGACATCACAAGACACGTCATACCTTGGCTCAGAACAGCCTACTAGCGAAGCCAAGCCAACGAGAAGGGCAAACCAAAGGGAAGAAATAAGCGAGCTCGGTGGCTACAAAGGCCGCTCCTCCACTACTTTGCAGGTTATCTCCCTTGTCTCCTGTGCTCTTGGCGGCCCCGATGCCAAAAGACTTCAAGATGCCCCCATTAGACAAGTACGACGGGTCCTTCGATACTAACGACCAGGTGGACTCTTTCCAGTCCCAAATGGACCTAGCTGGGGCTGATGAGTCTTGCATGTGTGTAGCCTTCTCTACTACCTTTAAAGGGGTAGTTCGAACCTGGTATCGAAACCTCGCGTTGGGATCGATCAAAAGCTAGTCGCAGTTCGCTGACTTGTTCACTGCACATTTCATCACCAGAAAAAAGTATTTGAAGTCCCAGGAAAGCCTCTCAATGTGGTCCAGAGGAAGGAGAATCGATCAGGAGTTACATCAAACGCTTCAATGACACCTGACTGTAGATACCGGATCTCGACCCGACAGTGAGGCTCACTGCAGCCAAGAAGGGAATTACCCACAGAGAGTTCAAATGGCATGTAGTAGCAAACAAACCGAAGGACATTACTGAGTTCCTAAAGCTCGCAGACCAGTTCATTGGCATCGAGGAGGAGATCAATCAGAAGGTCGAGTAGTGGCGGCCAAAAGAGGAAGAAAAGCAAGTCCCCAACTAGGGGAAGAAAYAACTCCAAAAGTCGGTCCCCTTCGCGATCTCGTAAATCAGGTCGGCGCTTTAGGACCCCTCCTGTGGAGAGAACGAACTACACACCCGAATGCCAAAAGAGGAGAGGTCCTAATGGCCATTAAGGATTCCTCCTTCGTCAAATGGCCTCCCAAGTTAAGAGGAGACCCAGCAGAAAGAAACCCAAACATTTATTGCCACTTTCATCGAGATCACGGGCACAGTACAGAGAACTGCAGGAACCTTCGTGATGAGATCGAGGAACTCATCCGACGAGGATACCAGAAGAACTTTATCTTGCGCGAAGATAGAAGACAGACAGATCGACAGGTAGACCAACAAGGAGATCAGAGGAACGCCCCAGAAGCCAGTAGGCAAAACAAGCAACCGCCACGACAATTGCCAGAAGAGAGACTGATCTGCGGGGTAATTAACATGATTACCGGCGGGTTCATTATCGCGGGGTGTACCTCGGCAGCCAAGAGGACCTCGGTGCGTGAGCTAGAAAACGAAGAAGAAAACCCGCCAAAATGACCTCGACTTGAAGGACTGATATACTTTACTAAAGACGATGCACGCGGGATCCAGTATCCTCATGACGATGCCCTAGTAGTAAAGTTGCGGATCAATGACTTCAAAGTAAAGCGGATACTAGTAGACTCGGGCAGCTTGGCCGACATTCTCTTCAAGGAGACATTTGACAAATTATAGCTACAGCAGAGTGACCTGAAACTGGTAGACACCCTTTTAGTAAGGTTCAGCGGCAAGGAGGTCAGACCTCTCGGGCGAATCACAGTACCTGTAGAAGCCAGCACGTGGCCGAATATCGTGCRGTTTTAGCACACCTTCCTGGTAGTCATTACTCACTCCCCCTACAACGCCATAGTAGGTCAGCCCATCATGCATGTTCTATGTGCGGTAGTGTCCACTTACTATCTGGTGATGAAGTTCCCGACTGATTACGGGGTGGGAGCCGTGCGAGGTGACCAACTCGAATCGTGCAAATGCTATGTAGCTGCTCTCAAAGGGAAGGCAAAGCTAGCAGAAGATGTCGAGCTCGAGTGGCCTGCAGAGTACACCAACGAGCGAGCTGCCCCGACAAAGGAGACAGTCTACATACCGGTCTATGTTGACGAACTGACCAAGACTCTCCAGATCGGTGCCTCGACCAATGAACCACTCTTCTCCCAGCTAGTAAGTTTCTTAGTTGAAAATTTAGACATTTTTGCTTGGTCCACGGCAGAGATGCCCAAAATTGATTCAAAAGTTATAACTCACAAATTGAACACCAACCCTTTAGTCAGGCCAGTAAGGCAGAAGAACCGCAACCTCGCCCTGGAACATTGGAGGGTAATCGATGAAGAGGTCAGGAAGATCCTAGCGGCAGACTTCATTAGGGAAGTCCATTACCCGAGCTGGGTGGCTAACCCAATTCTGGAGAAAAAGGCCAATGGCAAGTGGCACATGTGCGTCAATTACACTGACCTGAATAGAGCCTACCCAAAAGATTTGCTTCCCATTTCCCAAGATCGACCGCCTAGTGGATGCGACCTCAGGACATGAGTTGCTGAGCTTCTTGGACGCCCATTCCGGTTACAACCGGATTAGGATGGACCATGCTGACGAAGAGAAGACCGCCTTCATAACCGAGCTTGGATTATAGTATTACAAGGTCATGCCCTTCGGACTAAAAAATGTCGGGGCAACCTTTCAACGCCTTGTAAATAAAATTTTTGAGCCATTAATCGGCAATAAAATAGAGTGTTATGTTGATGACATGGTCATGAAGACCCAGTTTTCGAATTTCTTGTTGAATGATTTAAAAAGTGTTTTTCAAATTTTGCGAAAATATAACATGAAGTTAAATCCAAACAAGTGCGTCTTCGAAGTCACATCGGGAAAATTCCAAAGCTATATAGTCAACCGACGTGGCATCGAAGCCAACTCGAATAAAATAAAAGCCATCCTAGATACGAGACCACCTCTCGCTCCCGCCGATGTGAGTTCACCTCGGGAGGACCGTGGACCGCACCCTAGCTCGAAGTAACCTCCTCGGTTGGACGAGGATCCACGGCCTGAGCTGAGGTACCCACCTCGGCTCTAGCGGATTCACCGCTCCCGTCTAAGAGACCATCAAAACTAAAGCTAGACATACTAAAAAGGCACGAAATCGAAAAGAAAAAGCAAAGGAAGACTCACCAAAAGGAAGACCGAAGAAGGGAAAGCGACATCGAAAAAACTTGAACGCGACCTCAAAGATTGCGGATTTGCAGACTTGTGGCGAGGATCAACGGTCGAGATCAACATAATCCAACGGCTCCTAGGGAAACCGGTTGCACGACCCCCGAGGTTTAAATCGATTTAGCGCGTGTTTTGACGTCCACGGAGTTTATAAAACGGCGTGACGTCCGCGCATAACTCAGACGCGACCTGGGTTATTCTGGAGTTTAGCCGGGCAATCGAATAGGTCTAACCAATGATTCGCCCATCAAGCCGCCTAGACCTCGTGCCAAATCCACCTGGACTCGTCATGAGCTCCCCGCACCGGGTTGATACCCTTGGCTCGGGGAGTGGGGGGCAATTGATGAAGGGTGATTTAGCCCAACCTAGCGAGAAGGGGACATGTGGACCCGACTTGATTAAGGGATGACAATTCATCCTGGCAAGCCTAGTTCGCAACATTTGAGCTCGGGTATTCAGTCACCTCGGCCCAAAACTCACCTCGGCATCGAGGCACCTCGGTATTCAATCCAGTTCGAAACTAAAGAATCAAAGTATCAACTTGGGGCTAACAACCCGAATTGCCACGTAACTGACTCCAAAGGTCTCTCCAACGGATCCCAAGTTACTCGAGATCATGATGATGTAACAGATCCYGAATTTTCCGAGATCACGATGAGCTAACAGATCCCGACTTTTCCGAGATCACGATGATGACTCATCCCAGCTCCGCCAGAGTCGAAAGTGAAACGATAAGCCTTAATCTATGTACTGCTCCTTCGAAAGCGGAACGAACCCTATCTCTACACCCCGGAGATCTCGGAGCTCTTTTGTGAGACCCACGATTACTCCAGTATATAAAGATGGGAACCTCAAGGCAAAGGTATGCGTGATTACTCTATTCTCTAGCACTCAAGCTCTCAAATTCTCAAGCACTCAGCTCGCATTTACAGCATACTAACTTAAGCATCGGAGCGACCTCGCCGAGTTAGCCACCCCGGGTTCTCTAATAGATTGTTTTGTAGATCATTGATCCAGCTTGCCGTCCACCTGGAGTTCGGATCGTCATCGAGATAGGAGTAGTCAGATCGCGCACCATCAATTATTAATATTGATTTTTCTTTTATGGGAATTATCTCCCCCAGCCACGTCAGATGCCATGTCGTCAAAAAAAAAATCAGAATCGGCTTGAAAAGAGGAATAATAAAAAATAGTGATTCCTATTTTTAGCCCAATCAAATTTTGACCAATTTATCAAAATCTCAAAAATCGACCAACCAAACACCAAAATAATCAGTCGTTTTTGAATTGTTGATGTGGCTTTCATGTGGCATCGATATTTGTGAAATTGGCATCTGTTCGCAAACACCACCTTAATGGCTATGTTTAGTGGCCATATCACCAATAATAATGCCCCACGTCAGCCCTTCCACGTAATGCTTCCAAGTCGTCCAGCTAAATGATGTGGACCACTCAACTACAAAACAAAACCTTGTTACCTCGAAACATTCCCACCTTCACTCCATATGTTAAATGCTGTGCTTCGCTACTCTAGATGGGTACCCTAGATTCAGCGACGCAATTCAAAACATCTTGAATGAGCCGATGGATGGCATCCACGTCACCATGGTGGGGCTACTCACTTTCACTCCGTCACTAGTCCATCCTAATATAACATTTCTGCCCTTACTGTATATATATACCAACCTACGTAGTTCTATTCAAACCCAGGAGCTAACCAATAGATACACTCCACGTGGTTATATGCATCATCTACAACCTTCTCCAAGAGGCCCTGTCAAAACTCGAAGGAAGAAAAACTTGTCCCGAAGAATAGCCAGTAAACAACGAGATGATGCAACTCTTGATCTTCTTCGCCCTAGAGACATGGTGGGACAACTTTGTGTTGAATTGTATCTCCTTCCCTAACATGGGTCCTACCATGTCTGCACGGCGAAGCATAGAAGAGTTGCATTAACTCATTGTAGGCAAGCAAGTAAGAGTTAAACAGAGAAGAATAAAAAGTGCAAACAATTTAACCAAACGGAGAGAGAGAAAGAGAGATTCAAAAGGGCATCTCAGGTCAGAATTCCACCACCACTAGCATCGTCCCACCACCGTAAGCCCCAGAAGACGAGGACGGAGGACCCTCTTACCGCCGTCGCTCGAATCTCTCCGCCTCTCTGATCTTCACATTTCCATTACACCTTCTCTTGTTCTACCTTCATCACAAATCACATCACCTTAGATCGGCCGGCGCTGCATAAATCCCCCACCTTGCTTCGCCCTAATTCGCGCTCTGAGAATCGGAACATCTTATTTGGATCCTCCCCCCCCCCCCCCCCCCCCATCTCAATTCCGCCCAGATCTGGGGAAGCTGAAAGAAGCTGACAAATCATGGATGAGTTTCCTGGTATTTTGGCGAGAGATTTTGGGTTCAGACCGCAAGGCAAATCGGCTCCAATGGCAGCATCCAAGGGAACTGGTAACCTCGGTAGTAGTGGAACCCTAAATTTTGGTATCGGATCGGGAGGTGACACTAGATCCTCCTCAGTCTCTTCGAACCGGCCGAAATCCGGGTGGAATTCGAATTCTGTTGGTGGGTCTTTCCTTGATGACCACGATGGGCTCTTTGGGTCTGCGGGTAATCAGAAGAGCCAGGATTCTGGAGGTTTAGGGGGTTACGATGATGTATTTGGTGCCCCTCCCAAGTACACGAACCGGTCTGATAGTCGTGGTGGTGCGTCTTCAACTTCCACGTTTGATTATGATTCAATTTTTCAGGGGTCCAAGGATTCTAGTTCAAAGTCTCCATCTTTGCCAGTTTTCGATAAGCCTGTGTACGATGACGATATTTTTGATGGGTTGCCGGGGATGAAGAGCTCGTCTTCTGTTAAGTATGACGATGTGTTCTCGTCGATCTCGTCGCCTCCAAAACAGACTGCAGCATTTGATGATTTGCTAGGGAGTTTGAGCGGAAAGGAGCCAGAATTCAAGAGCTCGAGCGGGAAAAGGCCGGGAGATGTGGAGAAGGATTTGCCCGGTTTTGATGATTTAATACCCGGATTTGGTGGGAGCAGCACGCAGAATAAAAGGTACATTTGGGGTTAATTTTCAAGTAAACCAATTGATGATTTATTGCTTTATGATTTTAAATGATTTTCCCTACTAATTTTCCCCACCAGTTGAACTGTTGATCTTTAGCTCACTAGTTTGGAATGCCATTTTTTAGATGGTATTTTGGGTGAATGCCTAATTTTCATTATATAAAAACACGAGTCTGCGGTTAGAATTTGCTGATTTTAAGTAATTGCACTTCTCTTCTTCCTGCTGAACCCAACTCACACAATGGGACTCTGGTTTAGTGAGCCATTTCTTGGACTCTCACCTTTAAGTTCAAACATTCAGTAGGTTATAATATTGTCATTGACTCGTTGTCCTCAGCATGAAACCAAAACTTTCCTTGTTTGGAGGAATCTCTGAGTTCTAACCTACATTTGACACTATTAATTCAAAATATWTTTTTTTTAAAACCCCATTTTAGTTTCTTGCTATTTTACTTGGTCATTTGGTAGAAACAGTTACAAATACTTCTGGAATTGGACGAGTGTTTTCCATGGTCAGTTAGTAAATAATAAGGATTTTCCTTATTAGTATTGTCTAGGAGCAACTCTATGCTTCTGGTATTGAACTTATCAAAATACTGTAGCTCACCGTAGTAATGTGACTTCAATAGTTTGCATTTATATGCCCGCATTAGTTTCAGAGATATCATTGTATGACAGGTATTATTCTTTTCTGTGGTCATATCAGTCCATTCATACTGTATGTCTCATTGGTTGTTTACCTCATTATGACCACCGTTATTAGAATTTTATAATTTTGGCATAAGTGGTTGCATGTTTCATGAATGATGGAATACAAGCATAATCATGTACTCATGTTGGACACGTCTTGGAGATACAATGTTCTCTTGTTGATGGCCCTATCTCTGGAGTCTTTGAGGACAGTAATTAATTGAACTAGAACTCTTATTTGACTTGATTTTTTCCATGTCAACTTGCTTGCTAATTTGATATTCAAGTCAAATCAATCATTCAAAGATGTCACACCTCTAAGATAGTTGGAGTCACACCACCAAGGCACAGAGTGCTTAAAGAAACCAAATACTGTTGACTCAATTGACCATGTTGAAAACTTTCCTGCTAGTGAAGGAAACTAGCATCTAAATTAATAGTTGCTTTCTAACTAATCTATTTAGAGAACCACAACTTTAGTTTTCCATTCATTTCTTAGTGGTTGAGTACTTGACTGTAGAATCCCCCAAGAATTAATGCTGCTGTTTTCTCAGGCTGTCAATTCCATGAAACACCAATACCAAGGTTCATGCATAATACATTCAATTGTGTTGTTTTCAAGATTATTGGATTGGCTATTTCTGTTGTATCTGACCCTACTGTCCTTTGAACAGATCAGGGACTTTGTTTCTTTTTGGAAATGAATATGATCTATTAATTCATAAAAAAAAACGATTATTGGGTTAGCTGCTCATGGACCTAGGTTTGGATACAGGTAATGGATATGGATATATTGATATAGTTTTTGATATGGCTATGGATATTACCTTGTGTGTGGGCCTAATGTTGGTTAGGGGTTGACAATTGGCTTGAGTTTGGGCTAGGTTGTGGTTTCAATTCTGGATTGTTTACTAATTTAGAAGGCCAAATAAAAGTCTGATCAGTGGCTCATTTAGGGACTGGTATGTGAGTCTAAACCCAACTTTTTAGGAGTTCAAGTGTTGGTATGCTCTTGCATCGCCATATGGTCTTACTGAAGGATCGTTTTGCACATACTGGCCAATTTTTCCTAAATATGAGAAATATGGAGGATGCTAAGTTTTGCTGCCCACTTTTTGTCACCATTAGATAACATTTTCTGAAGTATTTTACCCAGATATGGAAAGGGCATGGCTGGAGAAGGCATTGGATTTGGAATATACACTAAGGGCTTGTTCGTTTGCCAGTATTTAATGTGGGCTAAGTTGGTCAAACAGGCAATTGATCACAATCCCTATGTTTGCATGCCGCTATATTGRGTCCCATGGTAAGCCAAGCTACAAGAGAGTACCCATTACCCAGGTACCTGATAGAAGGTGGGTAAGTAACTTACCCGGATGCCAATAAAACACTCTCCCTCCCACCTCTCTCTTTACCTTGGTAATGTGTATTGCGCAAAAATGCTGGAACCTCACTTAACGGGGCAAGTGAAACCTGGGAAACACTTGCCTGGGTAAACGACTTACCTAGGTAACTGMAAACAAATGGGGCCTAAAAGTTGTCCAACATGATATGACACCCCTTGTACAGGTATCTAGGTATCATAGTTGCCAAGTGTCTTTCAATTACAAATGATGAAAGGTGAGAGAGCTTAGCAATGTGAACATCCATAACTAAGGTTCTCACTTCCTCTTTCACTCCTTGTCACAACTTGCRTCACTTGATCCAGAGAAATCTAAGGTTATAGATTCATCAAAGAAAGGAATAGCAAGTAATAGCCTACTACCAAGGTTTAACAATACTATGGGAATCCTCCTGTTATTTTGTGGATTGTGTTTGGGTGTGTTGTTCTCTCGTTGCATGTAGTTGGGGTTTACCCAAGACACAACTACCCTTTCTGGCCCATGCTTTTTAAGACAACCTAAAAAGATTGGGAAGAATCATGTGGAGAGCAGTGATGGTGGTAGTATTGTGGACAATTTGGGAAGAAAGGAATGAGAGAATCTGTTAGGACACCAGTTGCGCAACTAGAGATCCAAACCCAACAAAGTGTCCTAGTGCCAATTGGGGAAGAAGCTATTATTTGTGTAAACCCACCAAAAACTCTACTCAAACCCATTGCTAGGTAGGTGTATTTCAGGAAGAAGCCATGTCAATGTAACTAATTAAGCCATGTTCACAAAATCATGAGTTGGTTAACGTTGTGATTCAAAAGTATAAAAGGAGCCTACCTCGAGCAATAAAGACAACATGAGGAATTTCCTTCACTTTCACCCCTCTCTTCTACTTCTTCTTCTTCTTCTGTAAGGAGGCAACGTTTCCCTCGAAGAAACACCTGGGATGGGCAGAAACTCAACATCTGGTATCAGAACCAGGTTGCCGATGATAAGATCAGTATTGATGGAGAACAAGGTTGACTGCTTGGAGGTTGGACTTCATAAGTTTGAGTGAGATTTGAAAGAATTCAAGGCAGCCCTATCGACAGTGATGTTGCAATGTGAGAAGATAATGTCTAATGGAGCTTGGGAAGAAGATCAGGAAGGCTTGAATGGCAGCAGTGCTAGATGCAGCAATGGATCCCCCTTCTGATCTTGTAGTAGTGGAGAGGTGGATTCAGGAAGCTTGGGGTGCATTAGGGGAGGTGAAGGTTAAAAAACTTGTGAATGGAATGTTTTTGTACGTAGCTTCCTTGGAGAAGGAAGCGGAGGCAGTACTTAGTGGTGCGTTGTCGTACCTAGGGGAGAATATGCTCCTCCTTGACAGATGGAGTGCTTGTGCGGGATGCATTTCCAACGAGCCTTTCGGGAAAGGCAATCTCAATCAGAAGATTTGGGTCTGTATATATGGCCTCCCACTGATCTTGTGGAGTCTGGAAGTTATTTTAGCGATCGGGGATTTCTGTGGGGGTTTCCTAGCCACAGATGACTCCACAGAGGAGTTGGCGACTTGTGAATGGGTGAGATTGCAGGTGGTGTGGAGGGGAGAGATTATGATGACGGTGGAAGTTAGAGTGAGAGAAGTGGTGTATACTGTACACATCTGGCCAGAACTGGAACCTTCGGTGAGGCCGGTTACGGATTTACACAAATCGGCGAAGAACATTATGAGGGACGAAGTGATTGAAAGTTATGCAGAAGAGACCTTGGGGGTGGTTGAGAAGGGGGGGTGGGGTTTGTTTCGGTCGGGCATTCCATGAGTGATCCTCAGGAGGGTCGAAGGTCGGGAGGTTTGGAGGTGATTACTGGGGAACTGTTGATTGTACTAAACGGGAAAGGGAATCGAGTGATGGAGAGGAGTGTAGCGTCTGACTTTGTGCCTGACTGCGGACATGGGGCTTAGGTTCAAAATTTGAACAAGGCGAAGAGGAGTGCAACGTTTGACTTTGTGCTGATTGCGATCAGGGGGCTCAGATTCAAATTTGAACAAGTCAAAGAGAGGCTATTGGCCGGCTAGTAAAGAGGAGTTGAAAGAACTAATAGGGGAATGCTTGTTGGAGTTGGGTCACACAGGCGGAGTGGGTAGGGATGAACGGGTTGGATGGAAGACTTGGTACTCTAACGACAAAAGGAGGTCCAGGGATCCTTATCGTAAAAAGGGCTTGGACCGTGGGTTTGGGGAAAAGAGAGGGGAGGACCTACGAAAAGCTGGGGCCCAAGGCTCTCTAGTTTCTGGACCTGTTGGGAAAGATAGTCAGGGGAGTCGAGAGCCCAACCTTGAGTATGGATGCCAGAATCAGAAGAGTTCAAAGTTGTTCAGAAGGGACCCAGGGGTGATCAAGTTCTTCGAGAGAAGAAGGGGTCAGGCGAAGATTCAAGGAGTCCATGCAGGAGTGGCAATGGGAAAAGGGAAAGCAGTGATGGTGGAGGCAGAAGACTTGTCGACTGACGAAGATGTGGGGGAAACGATTGTTAATGATGCTCCTAAGTTTAGAGGGAGCCCTAGTAAAATCCAGAATGCTTTGGAGAGTATTGAGGGCCTACATGGGGAAGATGTGTCTCCGTTGCAGGTTGTGGAACTGTCATCGGAAGGGAGGGTGGAAAAAAGAGAGGGGAGAGAGATTCCGCATAGCCTGGCCTTAGTGGAATCACAAACTCTTTTGAGTTCGGGAAAGATGTGTCTCCGCTGCAGGTTGTGGAACCGTCATCAGAAGGGAGGGTGGAAAAAAGAGAGGGGAGAGAGATTCCGCATAGCTTGGCCTTAGTGGAATCACAAACTCTTTTGAGTTTGGGCGATGGAGAGGTAACATTGCTCGAGGGAGGGGAACTCTCGGAGGGCTCCGAGTTAGAGGAGGGAATTTTGCGACAACGGACTCAAAACTT